GGGCAAATTCCACCAGTTTTGAGGCGGATTCCTGATGTTTTTTGGGGGCGAATTCCCGCCATTTTCTGAGGCGAATTCCCGCCATTTTCTGAGGCGAATTCCCGCCGTTTTCTGAGGTGAATTCCCGCCTTTTTTTTGAGGCGAATTCTCGCCGTTTTTTGGGGGCGAATCCCACCAGTTTTGAGGCGAATTCCCGCCATTCCCTGAGGCGAATTCCCGCTGTTTTTTGGGGCAAATTCCCACCAGTTTTGAGGCGAATTCCCACCGGTTTTCTGAGGCAAATTCCCACCATTTTCTGAGGCGAATTCCCGCCGTTCCCTGAGGCGAATTCCCGCCGTTTTCTGAGGTGAATTCCCACCGTTTTTGGGGGCGAATCCCACCAGTTTTGAGGCGAATTCCCGCGGTTTTTTGAGGCGAATTCCCGCCGTTCCCTGAGGCGAATTCCCGCCGTTTCCTGAGGCGAATTCCCTCCGTTCCCTGAGGCGAATTCCCTCCGTTCCCTGAGGCGAATTCCCACCTTTTTCTGAGGCGAATTCCCACCTTTTTCTGAGGCGAATTCCCACCTTTTCCTGAGGCGAATTCCCTCCGTTCCCTGAGGCGAATTCCCGCCGTTTTCCTGAGGCGAATTCCCGCCGTTCCGGGGCTTCCCCCGTGGGGTCCCCGGCGCAGCGCCCGTCCCGCGCCGGCCCCATAGCTCAGGGGGTAGAGCACTGGTCTTGTAAACCAGGGGTCGCGAGTTCGAATCTCGCTGGGGCCTCCGCCCGACAACTTTCATTTATTTTGCCTTTTTTATCCCCAAAAAAACCCTCCAGCGGCTCCGGGATCGGGAGGGGACGGGGAGGAATTCCCGAGGGAGCGGGGCGGACCCGGGGAAGGACTGAGGGAAGCCCTGGAATGCCGATATTCCAGCGGCTCGTTGGTCTAGGGGTATGATTCTCGCTTTGGGTGCGAGAGGTCCCGGGTTCAAATCCCGGACGAGCCCTTTCTTTAATTCCCAACTTTATCTTTCCGTTTTCTTTTTATTTCGTTGCTTTTCTCCTTTACTTTCCTTCTATTCGCCTTTTTTTTTACTGTTTTCTCCTTCAGTTTTATTTTTTTGTAATTTTTTTTCTTTTTTTTTTGTTGCTTTTCTCCTTTAGTTTCCTTTTATTTTCCTTTTTTTTTTTTGCCGTTTTCTCCTTTACTTTTATTTTTTTTAATTTTATTTTTCTGTGGTTTTATTTTTTTGTTTTGATTGTCGTTTTTCTTCTCTAGTTTGGGGATTTTTTTATGATTTTTTTTTAACTTGCTTTCCCCCTTTACTTTTACTTTTTGTGCCGTTTCTCCTTTAGTTTCCTTTTATTTTCCTTTTTTTTTTTTTTGCTGTTTCCTCCTTTACTTTTATTTTTTTAATTTTATTTTTCTGTGGGTTTTTTATTACTGTTGTTTTTCTTCTTTAATTTTGTGATTTTTTTTGTGATTTTTTTTGCATTATTTTTTAACTTAGTTCTCCCCTTTACTTTTATTATTTTATGCTGTTTCTATTTTCTCCTTCAGTTTTATTTTTTTTTTTTGCACTGTTTTATTTTTTTTTTGCACTGTTTTATTTTGGTTTCTTTCATTCTTTTTTTCTTCTTTGTTTGTTCTCGTGCGTGTGGTTTTTACATTTGTGCTTTTTTTTTTGTTTTCCTAAAAGTGTTTTTTTGGGGTGATTTTTCTACGTCTGTTTTGTTGTGTTTTCTTTATTTTTGCCCCTTTTTTTTTTCTGTTTTTAAAGGTTCGGGGTTTTTTCCGTGCTTTGTTTTTATCGGTTTTTATTGTTTTTTCTTTGTATTTTTGGGGGTTGTTTTATTTCGGTTTTGCGAGTTAATTTATGGGGTTTTGAGGGTTTTTTTGGTTGTTTTTAAAGAGGAAAAAAGCAGGAAAAAGCGCCGCTGGCAGCGGTGGGATTCGAACCCACGCCCCCGAAGAGACTGGAGCCTTAATCCAGCGCCTTAGACCGCTCGGCCACGCTACCCTGGCGGCGGGGCTGCCCCAGCCTTCCTCTGCTGGGCGGCTGCCTCCTCATCCTCATCCTCATCTTCATCCTCATCCTCATCCTCATCCTCATCCTCATCCTCATCTTCATCTTCATCTTCATCCCCCTCCTCATCCTCATCTTCATCCCCCTCCTCATCCTCATCCTCATCTCCCTCCTCATCATCAGCCCCTTCCTCATCCTCAGCCCCGTCTTCATCCCCTTCCTCATCCTCATCCTCATCTTCATCTTCATCCTCATCTTCATCCCCCTCCTCATCCTCATCCTCATCTTCATCCTCATCCTCATCCTTATCTTCATCCCCCTCCTCATCCTCATCCTCATCCTCATCTTCATCCCATTCCTCATCCTCATCTTCATCTTCATCTTCATCTTCATCTTCATCTTCGTCTTCATCCTCATCCTCTTCATCTTCCTCCCACCCCTGCCATCATCCTCCTCCTCATCTCCACCCTCACCTTCCTCCCATCCCCGTCATCATCCTCATCCTCATCTCCACCTTCATCCCATCCCCGTCATCATCCTCATCCTCATCTCCTTCATCATCCCATCCCCGTCATCATCCTCATCTCCACCCTCACCTTCCTCCCATCCCCGTCATCATCCTCATCCTCATCTCCACCCTCACCTTCCTCCCATCCCCATCATCATCCTCATCCTCATCTCCACCCTCACCTTCATCCCATCCCCGCCATCATCCTCATCCTCATCTCCACCCTCACCTTCATCCCATCCCCGTCATCATCCTCACCCCCATCCCATCCTCCTCACCCTCCCTGATCTCCATCCTCATCCTCATCTCCACCTTCATCCCATCCCTGCCATCATCCTCATCCTCATCTCCACCCTCACCTTCCTCCCATCCCCATCATCATCCTCATCCTCATCTCCACCCTCACCTTCCTCCCATCCCCATCATCATCCTCATCCTCATCTCCACCCTCACCTTCATCCCATCCCCGTCATCATCCTCATCTCCACCCTCACCTTCCTCCCATCCCCATCATCATCCTCATCCTCCTCCTCATCTCCACCTTCATCCCATCCCTGCCATCATCTTCATCTCCACCCTCACCTTCATCCCATCCCCATCCTCCTCCTCCTCCTCCTCTCCCCCCGCTCCTTCCTCGCTCCCACCCGGCGGAATTCGGGCGGGTTTTGTGCCGTTTTCCCGGTTTTTCGGCCCAAAGGCGGGTCTCTGTGGCGCAATCGGCCAGCGCGTTCGGCTGTTAACCGAAAGGTTGGTGGTTCGAGCCCACCCAGGGACGGGGCGGCTCCTTTTCCTTCCCCGCAGTCATTACCGAATGTTTGTACGTCAATTAAATTCCGTGAGGAAAGGAACCCCCCGGCGCGCCGAATAAAAATCCTTCCTCGTTTCTTTATTCCCCTGAAGTTTATGCCGTCTTTCTAAATTTAAATGAGGGATTTTTTATTTTCGCCCCCGCGCACCGGGAGGGCCCCTCAGGGCTCTTCCCACCCCTCGGAGCTCCCGGGAAGGTCCCTCAGAGCTCTTCCCTCCCCTCGGAGCTCCCTCAGGGTTCTTCTCTCCCCTCAGGGCTCTTTCCTCCCCTCAGAGCTCCCGGAAAGGTCCCTCAGGGCTCTTCTTTCCCCTCAGGGCTCTTCCCTCCCCTCAAAGCTCTTCCCTCCCCTCAGAGTTCTCCCCTTCCCTCCCTCAGAGCTCTTCCCTCCCCTCAGAGTTCTTCCCTTCCCTCAGAGCTCCCGGGAAGATCCCTCAGAACGATTCCTTCCCCTCAGGGCCCTTCCCTCCCCTCAGGGCTCCCTCAGGCCTCTTCCCTCCCCTCAGAGTTCTTCCCTTCCCTCCCTCAGGTCTCTTCCCTCCCCTCACAGCTCTTCCCTCCCTCAGGGCTCTTCCCTCCCCTCACAGCTCTTCCCTCCCTCAGGGCTCTTCCCTCCCCTCAGGGCTCTTCCCTCCCCTCAGAGCTCCTGGGAAGATCCCCCAGAGCTCTTCCCTCCCCTCAGGGCTCCCTCAGGGCTCTTTCCTCCCCTCAGAGCATTTCCCTCCCCTCAGAGCTCCCGGGAAGGTCCCTCAGGGCTCTTTCCTCCTCTCACAGCTCTTCCCTCCCCTCAGGGCTCTTCCCTCCCCTCAGAGTTCTTCCCTTCCCTCCCTCACAGCTCTTCCCTCCCCGCGGAGGAGCTCCCGCGCCAGCCGGCACCGCGCTCTGGTGATGTTGGCGGCGGCCCTTGACGGCCGACTTCATGGCCTGGGTTGGTCGATCCAGGCGTGAGGGGCTGCGCCGCGTGATTCCCCGGCGACGTGCACCCTTGCCCCTCGGGGCGCAAAGCGCCTGCCGATTTAGTCGCGCGAACTGGGTAGGGGGTTGAGGCGGCCGAAGGCCCCCATGGAGTGGCCGGTCCAGCTGCCACCTCTGGCACGACGTGGCGGTCGGCAGGCCAGGCGCTAGGAAGTTCCCGGCTCACCCTTGCACCTCGCCAGGGTCGCGCAAGCACACCTCCACCCGCCCGCCCCCCTCGGGGGGGTTCCCTGTTCAGCTGGCAGGGAAGAAACTCCGAAGTCGCCTCCGGTTCAGGGTGTAGGAGGCCAGGCAGGACGCCCACCGCGGCTGGAGAAAGTTGTGGCTTGGGGTTAGTTAGATTGAAGCTGCGAGGGGCCGGTCCAGGTGACGGAGTGGCCCGCCACGGATCCCGTCCTTCTCCCAGAACCTCTCGGAGCAGGCCAGGACGATCTTGGAGCCGCCGGCGGGGTAGTGGGACGGGAGCGCAGGGCGTGGCTTTTGGCGCGGACAGGGGCGGGCAGGAACTGATGTGCCCGCGTTGGGCATTGCCGTGGAGGTTGACAGCACGTAGTCGGCCCTCACCGGCCGTCCGGGGCCAGAGTGTCCGCGGTGCGCCGGGTGAACACCCGGACCTCTGTTCCCCTTTGCTCCATCGATTGGTCTCCACGGGTGCAGTTGAAGCGGATGACCGCGCCGGGGCAGGCCTTTCTGGGGACAGGGCCTTTCGGGCAGTGGGTCGAACCCGCCCGTGATCTGTCTCATAGCTGTGGGGGGTGGGGGGAGGAAGGAGAGGGTTGAGGCAGGGCTTTGGGGAGTCTCTGCGGACGCCGACGGGGCCCACGGGCCCCTCGGAGCTACGGATTCCCCCGCGTCCGGAATCCCCCCCCGGAATCCCGCCCGACCGCTCACGTTTCGTTGGAGAAGACGTCGAAGTCCCAGAGCGAGGCGAGGAAGGACAGGTAGAACCCGGAGTCCTCGTTCAGCAGGTCCCCGATCATGTCCACGGCCCCCCGGCTCAGCCCCCCCACCTTGATCAGGTACTCCTGGGGGAGACACAACAACATTGCAAGGTTGTTCCCCCTGGAATTCCCACCCAAGCTGCCCAAAGACTCCTCCATGCAGGAGTTTGATGCCTCCTCTCAGCATTTTTAAGCAGAAGGAATCATTTATTAGGGGAAAAGGGGTCCAAAAGGGACAGAGGGGGTGGGACCAGAGTGGCACAGACCCTTCCCCAAAGGAGGGAGGGCTCCATTAATTAATTAGTCAAAGGCTAATTATCGATGGTGGGCATTAAATTCGTTCAGGAACCCCAGCCCCTTTACCTTGGTGGAGAAGGAGTCATATTTAGCCAGGTATTCCTCACAGTCCGTGTCCTGGAAATTCTTGAAAGCCTGGAAAAACGGGGATATTTTCGTGGCAAAAAGCCCATTTTTCAAAGTGTTCCCCACCCCACCCCTGAGCCTCCCTCAGCCCCTGCCCAGCTGAGGGTCCCCCCTAGCCCGGGTTGCCTCTTTTTTTGGGGGGGTCCCTGTTTTTGGGGTGCTCTGGCCGAGTAGGTCCCTCCCAGCCCGGGGTGCTCCTGATTTTGTGGTGTCCCCTGATTTTGGGGTGCCCCTGTTTTTGGGGTGCCCCTGATTTTGGGTTGCCCCCATTTTTGGGTTGCTCCTGTTTTTGTGATGCCCCTGTTTTTGGGTTGCCCCTGATTTTGGGGTGCCCCTGTTTTTGGGTTGCCCCTGATTTTGGGGTGCCCCTGTTTTTGGGGTGCCCCTGTTTTTGGACTGATCCTATTTTTGGGGTGTCCCAGTTTTTGGGGTGCCCTGGCCGAGCAGGTCCCCCCCAGCCCAGGGTGACCCTGTTTTTGGGGTGCCCCTACTTTTGGGCTGCCCCCGTTTTTGGGTTGCCCCCGATTTTGATTTTCCCCCTGATTTTGGGTTTCCCCTGTTTTTGAGGTGCCCGTTTTTGGGTTGCCCCTGATTTTGGGTTTC